GCTCCGCGTCGATCCCGTCCATGGCGGCGGCGCGGGGCTAGGGTTTCGCGAGAGAGGGGTGGGGGGACGCGGGGGGGGATTGGGTGGAAGGGATGGTTTGGACTTGGGAAGTTTGGGATCTGGCAAAGTACGAGTAGATCGCAGAGAAGTCTGGCCTCTGGGCCGTTGATTGATCTGGCAAAAAAGGAACCGCCTTCTTTTCTGGGGCACGGAATATGACCGGCTTTTTTTTAGGACGGAGTGAACCGACTTAAAATCAAACAAAAAAAATCAAGAAATTATTATTATTATTATTTTGCGGGTGAATTCAAGGAATAAATTAGGAGTAACATATTTTTGGGATATGGATAACTTTATTTCCTGGCAAAGTATCCAGTGAAAATAGGTATTCAGTGAAAACCTGAAAATTCCATCATGGCCCATGAAACGTGGCGGCGTATAAGATTGAGGCGTATAAGATTTTTCATCCTTAATGGTGAACGAGTCAGGGGGTTTTCTGCTAATTGTGTTTAAGTGGATCATTAGTGATCCCACCTTTTGATCAGTGTTGTTCATTATAGATCTGATAGACCATGCGAAAATTCTCAGATTTTCATTGAGCACCTATTTTCATCTAATACTTCGCCTTATTCCATTGCACTACATCTCGCCATTGAGGTTATGTTCATGTAGCAAAAAATTCTCTTTTTTCATACATCACCTCAGTCAATGATATCAACTCCCATAATCATGTTGTGCTACTCTCTTCTCTCGAACACCCCACCCCCTCCTTCATCTCCCCCACTCTACCGATGAGTTGAGGCATAAAAGCATCTCTAGCAGATTCGCTAATAGCTCGTCGACGTGTAAAATTCCATCTGTCATGCGGGTTTTGGCTTTTTTCGGCCCGAACAAATCTACTAAAAGTTGACGGCCCATAAAAACTTATGAGGCGACCCGCATATGTGCCTCTCCGTTGCTATATGTATGGGGTCAGGGGGCTTTTGGGGTTAGCAAATCGGATCCCCTCCGTTGTGAAACGTCTCCTCCGCCACTAGGTTTAAAGCACTCTGGCGAGCAATTAGCTGCGCCTCCCCTCTTCTTTTTCGTCGTCGATGGTAGATCCATGGCAGGCGGATCCAGACGCGGTCGTGGCGGCCACGTCGATGCTAATGGAGGGTGAGGCGGCGATGGATGGGTAAATGGATGTAAGTTGAAACCGACGCTAGGGAGTCGGCAATGGGTAAGGCGTGTCGTCAAAACAAGGCTCAAGGTTGAAAACACTGTCATGGCTAAAAGAAGAAAGCACAACCTGACGAACACGTGAAGGAATACCATAACAGAAGCACAAACTAATACGGTACGACGTGACACACGACTATAGAACACACACGATTCAAAAGAAAAAAACCAATCTTGTCACTCGCAGATCTACTTAGCACATCAGACCCACAAAAGGACATAGACGCTAATAACAGCCTACAGAGCCTAATGTACACAAAAGTAAAGCTAATCAACAACACCACTACTGAACGACTAGCCCATCATCACAGCCAAAACCGTGTAATCAATCAAACCTATTGTAACAGCCGAAACAACCCTATTGTACGGGAGAAGATGATCTAAAAAACTAAGCTAGCAACAAGTAAAGATACTCTCGGACGGCTCAGGTGATCGACTCCAACACGCTTTCACAGCCGGGTGAAAAATGAATCGAGCGCAAGAAAATAGATAAAGATCAATACAATGAACAACAATAGAAAGCATACGAAAATTGAACCGGACAAATTACAAACACAGCGAGGATACAAAAGAAAAGGATCAAAGCCCAAAACAATCGAAAGGCAAGAACGATAAAGAACAAAAAATACAGGGTCATCAAACCAAAAAAAACAAGAGCATACACATCCACAAAAAACAAATAATCCATAAATGAAAAAAATAGCAGAGGAACACGTAAGAAACATATGCACGAGGAATCACCAGACAATTAAAAATCAAATTCACGGGAAAAAACAATACATGTATACACGAAAGTCAGACACATCGTAAAAAGAGTTGTACCTTAAACCCCAATGATTAACAACATATAAGAAACATGAAAAATAAACAGAATCAAACAAACCAAAACACGAAAACAACTACGCATATGAATATTAAAAATATAAACACACATAATAAACCCACTAATAAACCCGAGGATAATAAAACCATAGAAAAAACATGAAACGTTAAAACTCACAAATAATGGGAAAGATTGTAGACACAGAAAAAACACGCCTGAACACCAAGATCGTAGATCTGTACAAAGATATCGACTTGAATAAGAAAATCAAAAAACAAAACAAACAAAACTCTAAAGAAAACCAAGGAAAATAGTAAACGATTAACCATACGAAATACATAACACCAAAACTCACCGGAAGCACACATGCCCAAACAGAACATGTCGAATAACGCGTGCCCAACCAAGAGAGATCGAGCAATATGACGACCTGCACAGATAAAAATGGAGAATAACATTAGAAACCCTTTTTAAGCAAAACTCGGAAACGATTGAAAAACTAGGAACGAAGTAAAAGAATGACACGTAAATAGAAAAGGAACACAAAAAACAACATGAGAGTAAGCACATGGACAACAAAACACATTAAAAACAAAAAAAATCAAACAATAGCACGCTGAAAACAAAAACGAAAACAAGAAACAAACAAATCGAACAGAACAGCAGCAAACCGGAAAGCACAGTGAAGAACAAACAAAAGAACCCAAACACAACCCAACCTGGAGCTAACCGGCCGACGGAGCAAGAACACTGAGGAAGAAATAACAGGGGCCAGAGCTCGAGAAAACACGGTGGAGCAAGAACAAAGAGGAAGAAGAAAAGAGGGGAAATGAGAGCTGCAATAACCATCTGATCCAGAACTCCCCGTTCCCCAGCACGGTGTACACGACAACTCCATTAAGTCGATAACCACTCGGAACCAATGGCGAGCCACCAGCAACACCGAAATCGGGCCCAAATTCGTTCTAACTACCAGCATAGTGCAGCGTACCCGCTACCGTCTTAATGAACCAATGGTGAGCCGCCAGCAACAACGAAATCATGCCTTCTGACGACCGGCACATTGCAACGTACCTGCCGACGAATGTAGAGAGGCCAGCTCGAATGGAGAAATCGGGCCCGAATTCTCTCTGACATCACGAACAGTGCAACGTACCCGACGATCATGTGAAATACCCAGCTTGCCCTGACATACTGTAGAAAATACGCAACAGCGACACGTCGAAGGGAAACATCGGGTCCTAAGCAACCGACATGCGGGCCACATAAGGGACGGGGCCCATCGTCAGCGAGAAGGAGGGGGCTGAAAGGACGTATGAAGAAAGGTCTCTCAGAGGGGCACGCAACGCATTCCATAATACGTACCCACTACAGTAAATGAACAAAATCGACCAATGGGAGGAACGTTGTGCGAATCTGGACAGTCCGCCACACTTATTAAACACGAACTGTGAGGCTGACGGGCGGGCCCTCGGGCTACAAGGACGATCCATGTAGGATGCCAGCGAGAGTGGGTGCAATAAGGCTGGTACAATTAGCGACTTTGTGAATCCCTGTTCATTTCGACTCGAGGAGCCGGCAGCGAGCTGAGGCACGGAGCGGGGAGAATTGGACGGCCAGAAAGCCCAAATCGCTAAGGAGCCTCCAAGGGGTCTCACCGTTTATATCTTTATTTAGATTTTCATTCATGTATAGAATCAGATTTTTCTTTGTTGTGCCCATTGGTGAAGTTCGTCCCAGGGCCTGCCGCGTGTGTACTCCTGCTGGCTGGAAAAAAATGATTAGTGTACAGAACTAAACAGTAATCAGAAAATAGGTATTCTAATTCTTGCGTGTATACCGAGAAGAACTAACCTATGATCTGCCTGTACTGCAAATCAGAATACGGCTCTTTCCCTGTTATAAGCTCCCACATGACGATGCCGAACGAGTACACATCCACCTACATGAATCACAACATCAGTAATGAAAATCGGAAGGGGAAAGCCCTTCTTTGATTAAAAAACATGAATCATAATAGATGGAGGTTTTTCAGAGAGGGGAACCACATCACATTTCCAAAGTGAGGAACCAAACAAACCTTCTCTGAAACTTTGCTCCCATCCATGAGCTCGGGTGCCATGCACCCCCCCTGAAACAAATGTTCGACATTTTACCTTTGCGAGGCCTAGATCGCATACCTTGCATATGGGGCGTCGTGGGTGTTGGAAATATGCCCTAGAGGCAATAATAAAATGGTTATTATTATATTTCCTTGTTCATGATAATTGTCTATTGTTCATGTTATAATTGTGTTATGCAGAAATCGTAATACATGTGTAAATACATAGACCACAACATGTCCCTAGTAAGCCTCTAGTTGACTAGCTCGTTGATCAATAGATGGTTACGGTTTCCTGACCATGGGCATTGGATGTCATTGATAACGGGATCACATCATTAGGAGAATGATGTGATAGACAAGACCCAATCCTAAGCATAGCTCAAGATCGTGTGGTTCGTCTGCTAAAGTTTTTTCTAATGTCAAGTATCTTTTCCTTAGACCATGAGATTGTGCAACTCCCGGGTACCGTAGGAATGCTTTGGGTGTGCCAAACGTCACAACGTAACTGGGTGGCTATAAAGGTGCACTACGGGT